CCTCTCTCTCCCCTCTCTCTCCCCTCTCTCTCCCCTGTTTCCCCCTCGTTATCCTTCGCTCGCTCGCTTGGCGCGCACATCATCCCTGCCGTGTCTTCCATCAGTTGCGCTGACGCATCCCCCCCCCCTCTCCCCCGCTGTCGTCCAGGTTGCGTGCGGAATTTCACCAACCGCGCACATAGCACCGCCGCACAGACCGCTGTGACGTGCGGGTTTTTCTCCATTTCCACCACTATCGCCTCTTTCAAGGATTCGGATATTGGTGCGCACATGGATGCCAGCACCCGGTCGCCCGGCACTGGGCCTGTCTCCAGCGCCTTCTCCGTTGGCCGCACCCGAATGCTCCCTAACACTGTTCTCCCCGTCCCTTCCCCCTTTCTCTTCCCCTCCCCCCTCCGCCTCCCTCCTTGTTCAAATGTTGCGCGTCGCTCTGCCGCAGTTCCTCTCAGCAATTTCGGCTCGGCTGGGGGCGCGATCGGCGTGGCCGGTGCGACCGGGGCCCGCCACTCGGACACGTCGGCCGGCGGGAGTCCGGCTCTCTCGATCAACACCAGCGAGGGCATCGCCCGGTCCGGGTCATCGGATTCATTGAAGAGCCTGGCCAGCTCGTTGGGCGAGTCCACCGGGACGACGCTCTTCATCCCGCCCCCGCCGCCGGCCGGCTTCGTCGGGATCTGTCCACCGGGCGACGGGGCCCCCCTCCTGCGGAAGGTGGTGTCATTGGAGCCGCCCCCCATGCCGCCTGGTGCGGCCGACGCCGACCTGTCCACCGGGGCCTCCTCTGTCGGGCTGTCGTCGTCGTCGTCGTCATCGCCGCCATCGTCATCTTCATTCCAGACGACTCCGCCGCCGGTCGCCGGGTTCGCCGCTCCGCCACCCGTGGCCGGGTCTCCGGTTGGGTTTGGCGGTCCGCCGCCATCGGTGTCCACCGCCGCACCTCCGAGTGGGTTTGGGGCGCCGCCGCCGATGGGCGGGCCTCCTGCCGGGTTTGGGGCGCCGCCGGGGTTCGGCGGTCCACCGCCGCCGGTGTCCACCACGCCGACCACCCCCGGTGGGAGCTTCGCGCCTCCGCCGCTGGGCTTCGCTCGGCCGCCGCCCTCGCCTCAGACCCCCAACTCAGAAATGTCCTTCGCCGCGGCCGGCGGCCCGCCCGGGCAGTTCGGCAAGCCCCCCTCGCGCATGGCCCGGTCTGCCCCGCCGCCTCCGCCACAGGCGCACTCTTAGCACGCGCGTGCGTGTGCGCGCGCGTTTGTGTGTGTGTGTGTGTATATCTGTATGTATCTGCATCTGTATGCGTCTTCGCTCCTCGTTGTTTCGCACGCGTGTTTGCACATGCACACGCCGGAAAGCCGGCGACGCACCCCCCCCCCCCCTTCTTGCCTCCCTTCCTCTCTCTGGGGGTATTTTTTTTCACTCAGCAGCACAGGCCAGGTGGCCGAGCCGTGTGAAGGAGCCAGATACACCGAGGGGCGGGGGCGAGGCAGCATACACATTTCCCCACCACTTTCATGAGCCAATCGTTTGGTGTTTACGGTCTTCTTGTCTGTCGGGGCCGCGGTGTGCCCCGCGGAGAAAGGGCGGGAGGAGAGGGGCTGCAGGTGGCTCCGAAACACACGTTCGGGGTGCGCGCCCGCTCGGTCGAAGCCCAGGGGCCCGCTTTGGGAGGGGAGGGTGGGGGACGTGTCTCGCATGCCGCGTCCGTTGGTAGCAATGTCCTGACCGCCGCCAGACTGCCACCAGTCGGGACGACGGCCGGGGAACCCCGCCCTGAGGACCGGCCCGGGGCCAGCCACAGGCGTGAACTATTTCCCACCCCGCCCGGGGCTCCAGCTCCTGGTGGGCAGACAGCCCAACCTGAGCACCCCTTTTCCCCGCCTGCGCCTCCCGCTCGAGCGCTGCTCCTCCCCCC